TCATGCTATTTCCAAATCCTAACATGTACTCTAATATAAAGCAAGCGTCTCGAGATGGATTGAACTCATAACCAACCATATCGTAAAGTGTATATTTCCACGAATTTAGAGCATATTCGTTTTGGCACTGCACGTTTTATACCCCGTTTATAGTCCTCTAAAACTTAAACAACACTAAAGTTCAGTGCAAAATTTACAGCGAGTTTCGCTTGTGATTTGGTTTTATTTTAGAATAAGGGTTTTATGAAGAAGCTAGACATACAAAAATAAAAATTTTGTTATCTTTAAGAATGCTTTCACGTAATTTATTACCTTATTAAGGGCTGTTTTTTATTACTGATAACCTAATGTTCAAATAAAGATTAAAGTATAATCCACGTGAGCGTTAACCTACATGCTCATTGACGTGTTTTTTTCTCAGAAACGAAAATAAATGTTTGATATAAACCCATATGTATATATTTTGTACAAATTCAAGGTCAGTGTTTTAGTTATAGTTTCAAAATACAACTCGTGCCCTTTGGTGACATTACGCTTCATTTAATATATTTTTATTTAACAATATAATGAGATTATTCCTTTTATAGCTCTATATAGAACAACAAAATATCCGCAGCATTTAATTATTGTAACTGACGTAAAACAATTAATAAGCGGGAGATTCTTAATGGAATAGTTAACTGTTGTTATTGTTTTCTGGTGTTTTGTTTTTCTATAAATTGTTTAGAAGGCCACATCTAAAATTAAGATATGTTATTTGTTTTCCACGACGAAATATCTTCATGTGTTACCTTTTTTAAATAAAGATATTATTATTATTATTATTAGTGTTATTATTATTATTCCTGGAAACTAGCCGGTACTAGACAATGGGTGTAAAGTTACTTGCTCAAGGAACACTGAAAGGGTTTGAACAAGCGCGACCAGCAATCCTTAGATTAATAGTGTTATTTCGCTTTGTAACGACAATATTGCGTGATCTCGCTTTAAAGTTACAGCTTGCTTAATATTCCTTACAAGTTGGGGAATCACCAAAAACCTGAAACACGATATTTTCAGAATCGATGAATAATATGCGAGGTTTTCCACGAAATTGCTAAATTCCGGTTATCTCAAGTCGATAGTTTATGTTTTACAAATGACCTTGAAAATAAAAGGCATGACCGTGTATCTGACATAATATACGTTTTTTGTGCCATTTATAATCCCGAAACTGCGCTATCTTATCACCGTCGTCGGCATTGCTGGGTTTGTTTATTTAGAGATTTTTTAACCGTTTTTTTTTTCTCTCTTAGCGCTTTCAGGAAAATGGTAGACATTTTGACTTAAAGCTGCATGCTACCAGACGAGCCCAACAAATTCAAGAAGTCAGTTTTGTAAAAAAAATGTACCAAGATTTGAAGGAAAGTAAAAATATAGACAAATTAAGAAATAATTTACATGATTTACGAAATTAAAGATTGATCTTGTAGTATTCATCACCACATTTCTACTGCGTGACTCAGGCATGCAGTTAGAGCTACTTTTACATAGTCTGACTTTTTTGTTATTTTTATATATTGTTTGTGTCATTTTCAAATGTATAAATAACTTTTTTTTGTTCTCTTGAAAGATATTTAACTTTTAAATACATTAAAAAACATTCATGAAAATAAGCATGAATCTGGAGGCATACTTGACTCGACTTGAAAAGCTTGAACATTATAGACTGTTAATAATATCAAAAGAAAATTTAAGTTTGCTAACTGCACCATAGGGAACATGTTACATTATCGCGCTTTAAGAAACGTAACTTCTTGTAGTATGGACATCTTGAAAATTCAATACTTAAACCAGAAAGCGTAATACTGGAACACGTTCCCTACTGTGAACTGCTTCGAGCCTGGCCAGACTGCACAAATGTTCGGATTGGTCTGGCTCTATTCTGGTGGAAAGGCTAATCACTCTCAGAACTGATTAAAAATTTTGTAGAAATTATCTACGGCCTTCGTGGTCAATTCCTACGCATCAAAAATCCAAACCGGTGTTAAATAGCCGATATACACCTCTCAGGCCGATGTTATTTCACAGACCTCAGCAAGAAAAAGGGATAAAAGTGATGTTTTTCCTTTAATCAAAGTAGACTGATATTTTTCATGAAGAAATCGGTTATAAATTGTATTTATATTCTAAATAGTGAATCGATATTCTATCGATTGTTGAATATCGATGATGTATCGATATCGCGATACTTATTGACAGCAGGTTATGGGGTAAAATAAATAAAATAGTCATTGAAACATGTTCAAACATTTTGTGGTTACTTGTCATGTTGTGTCTTCCAAGTACTTTCATTTTGTTGTCTTGGTGATTTATCTCTGTTCAACAGATTTTAGATCATTTATCTTATTCTGTCGCGTAAGGATATTTTATCTTTATGGCCTTTTTCGTAACTTTTTCGTAACGTTTTTAGTGCTTTCGTTTTACACCATTGGTGATTTATTATTCACAATTGTTTACTGAAACCATATAACGGCTGTTTTCTCCTTTGATTTATTTCTAAACTCTAAAACTTTATATTTTAAAAATGCATATTTATATAACAAATGACATGAATTTTTAAGGGGGAGCGATGGCTTAGTGGTTAAGGTTTCTGCTCCGCAACCCAGGGATCATGGATTCGAGCCCTAACCGGACCATATTTTTTTCCAAATGACACCAGTACTGGTTGGTTCCAGGAGGCGGATTGGAAAGTGATTGATTAAGATAAGTTGCAAGAACTTGTTACGCAGTCAAGCTTAAATAAATATTTTCAAACCAATTTTAAAAAACTTAAAAAAAGAAAGAAGATTAGTATCTATATTTCTGTTGTTTATTAAAATGACGCCAAACCATCTCAGTTGTTTAACCTATATTCAGAATATTCCTACCTAGTATATATGTGCATTGTGAATGCAAGTGACGTAAGGGGTATTTTTCATTTGAGTTATTTAAGGTACAATTTCATAATGATGACTTTATTATACTATAACTATGCTCTTTCCGTATATCTAAAATCGCACACTCTGCAAGTGCCCACCTTTAGCACCATTTGTACTGCGCTTTCAAATCAGATGTGCGATTTTCGGTTCACCTATTGAACAAGATCAAGGCAGACAGTCCTCTTTGCTGATGATTTAGATAATTTCTATAAAATATTTTTCAAAATGAAAACCGTAGCTAAACCTTTTATTTCTACTGTTGTAATGTGTGGATTTTTTTATTTCTTAAGAATATATGATTTGAGTGTAAAATACAAATACTGCGAAAAACAGGTGTAACGTGATAAAGATTTCTCATTTTAAATTTCAAAGGCATTTTACCTTTAAAGTTTGATAAAATTATTCTTGAGTTAACTTCCGACAGTTTCATGCCAAGAGTATATATATCAACAATGATCCATACTTTTTGTCCGGTGTAGCAGGTGTGCACATGGTGATACAGGTGTGCGTGTTAACTTTACTACGTTAGATTAGTGCTTGCACTGTGCTTGCCACTTTTAAGCACAAATTCGAAATGTATTTGAAAATCATCTTGTTGCATATTTGATCAAAAAGCAAAGAAGTTTATTAACTTGTAGGGGGCGAAGTGTCAAACTGTCTGGCAGCCAGTATAAAGCTGTGTATAAAGTAGTAACAAGAGCCCATCTGAGGCAAATTATGACAAAAAATATGCCTCCAAGATAGAGAGCAAATTTGAGCCGTGTCACGACAAAACCAACATAGTGGGTTTTGCGACCAGCATGAATCCAGACCAGCCTGCGCATCCGCGCAGTCTGATCAGGATCCATGGTGTTCGCTATCAGTTTCTCTACTTGTTATAGGGTTTGTAAGCGAACAGCATGGATCCTGATCAGACTGCGCGGATGCGCAGGCTGGTCTGGATCCATACTGGTCGCAAACGCACTATGTTGGTTTTGTCGTGACGCGGCTCATTTATTGTTATAAATAGCACAAATGATGACTTTTGTTTCGCCGAATGTACAGAGTCTAATTATTTTTAAGGCAACAGATTGTTTGCATATAAAGAAGCATAGATTTGTCTATAATAAATTGATTGCAGAGAAAATCAAACATACATGTATGCTAAATCTAAACATTATCATTGTAAGCCTTCAAACGTTTTGCTTAGAAAACAAATAATTTCGCTGGAAATTTGCTTAAAAGGGGACATAACTCTTTCAATAATATGTTGATTGCAATGAAAATCTAATTTAACCTGTCGTTTGATTTACATACATGCGTACTCACATGTCATACACAAACACTATCGTTAAAATCCTTTGAAAGTTATCATGCGAAAGCCACCCATGTAACAATTATACATTGATTGCAGAAAAAATATGATATTATCGTGTGTTTTGCTATAACATACTTAAATGAAAAGTATAAACACAATATTTTGAAATCGTGCGAAAACCAAATTGTCTACGGACGGACGGACAGGCGGTTGGACGTTCTCGATGAGTTATAATTTTTTTCTTTGATCCTCTTTTATCTCTAAGTAATGAACACGTGCAGCTAAAACAATGAGAGCCTTATGCTTAAAGGTTTTGAGTTGGTGTGCTCGTATCCCGGGTATGCCATACTTTCTCTGTGAATATGTAGTCGATTATATTTATAATAATAAATGTATGTAGGCTTTTTTTGCTCTCAAGATTTGGTATTTACACATTCTTTCGCGTCATTTGTTCACTATGGTTTACATACAGTACGGCACGTCCTCGTGGAGACCTAACTTTTCATTTCTTAACCGCCTAATTACTGTTTCTTTTAGTTTAAAATAACATCTTAGTTTCTTTTTCGCGTGTTGACAGCTTCTGGTTTATATGACCACTGATGAAAAAAATCGCACAAATAAATGACGTATAGTCACATGACGTTAACGTTAGTGTGTTCCTCTTTACGTTACGTGACGTATTGTTCGTCCTAAAAGGTACAAAACTACTTTGGACTGGTAAAAGAGAAACCAAGATAATATCGTTTTTCAACAGTTTATTGGCATTTTCTTTTTCTATATCCAATGGTTATCATGAAATACCCAGCTATGATATTGTAAATGACAAAAAATACAAACAAATATGATATGAAAATGTAGCAATAAAATATATGTTCCATAAAAATAGTACCCTTTATTTATATGTTCATTCTTATTAAGACTTTAGAGCATGCGTTATATAAGAGCACCCTTGATTATCTGAAATTAAGCTGGTCAATAGCAAGTTACTAGAATAAAGGCTTATGAGATAACTTCTTGATAAAGGGATGCGCAAACATTTGGCTGTAGAACACAGATTTGATAATAAATAATGCTTGCAAAAATGTCAAAAAAGTTAAACATTCAGTTAAAACAAAAGTGAAAATGTAATTTGGTTTTGTATGTTTCAAAAGCGTTACTACCGGTTTTGTTTACTCGCATGTCTATAAATATACACAAGAACACAGTACTGAAAATTAAAATTTATAGATAAGGTACTGCGTTACGCTTTTTCCATAAAAAGACTGACAAAAAATAAGTATGATATCATATTTGTTCTACATATATAAATGGGTTTGTGATATCTAAAAACAGATCATTCATGTGTGTGGGTTTTTTTAATCTTTCATTTAAAGAGGTTTGCTTATCGCTTATTTATACATTACCTTCAAACTTTTTATTTTCATTTCAGGTTTATGTTAACACTAAAGCTACAATATAATTTATAAAACCTTAACTATTTAACTACAAACAAAACACAACAAAAATAAATAATATTTAAATATTTTATCTATAACTAACCATAATAACTAACAGGCAACGGATATGCTAGATTCTTCACGGGGTTAATAAATACATGTAATAAATAATAAAAAGGTCAACAGCACATGCGAATATTATAAATAATGTATATATTTAATGAACTATATATGATAAATAAAAGTAAATATTAAAATTTGCCATTTAAAAAATTAATCTAATCACTTATAAGAAGATAGAAAAAAATCACAATAATGAATTTCATAGAAGAGTTTGTTATCTATATGTATTGTACAATGAAGTTTTAACGAAGTTTTATTTGTTTCAGTAAATATTATTTTAATCACATTTTACAGTTACATTCTGTAGTACACACACTTTATCTTACGTTTTGTATTGCATGTGAATTTCATTCAAATTTGCAAGAATGAAGTTTAATTCAACATAAAATGATGCATAATTATAGTATTGCTTATTGCAAAATAATTACGGAATTAAAGTTTTTTACTGACAATAAGCATGAATTGTAATCTAGAAACGCGAATAAAACTATGAGATCCATTATCCATTATGAGACGAATAGCAAAATAGATGGCCGAAAAAAAATCAATACAAATAAAACTTATACTAATAACAATAAAAAATATGTTTTATATAAAATTGTTCAAGCTGTAGTTAAATTGTAATAACTTCACCATCCCTTTGTTAACTTGATCATTTAAAGACAAAAAAACATAAAAGTAAAAAAAAAACACAAAAAAACCCCTGAAATATTGCACTTTGTCAGTAGAGGAATGTACATTTAAAGCCAGCTATGGGTATGAATATATCAAAACAGCATAGAAAATATAGTCCATGCAGTGAGCATGAGATTCGCGAGAAGGGAGATTACTCCTAATGAAAATTGTATTAGTCTATTTTATAGCGTCATGGTTTGTTTAGAATTCTAACAAACGATAATCTTTTAAGCTAAGATTCAAAGTGCCCTTAATTTTAAAATTGGTTTAAAAACAATTTAAAAATCTTATATCTACAAATACGGAGAGAGATAAGAAACGGACATTCGATATCGCAAATTCTCGGTCGTCACCGTTCTCTGCGATATGTCAGATTTAAAAGGGATGACGCCATATTTGTAGTAACATTGTTTTACAATCGTTTTAAAAACATTATTCTCCACTTTCAAAATAGTAAAAAGATACTTATGTGATTGAAAGATAGTAAACAAATATTCTAAATATTAATAAATGAGATAGGTATTTACTCTTTCTTCAAAATTCTCAGATTACAAAAATTACACTGATTAAAAAAGATATATTGTTTCAGAGACTTACGGCTCTCTTACAAAACGTATTCATATATATATATCAAAAACATGCTAACACTACATTCCAGGTATACCCTATTTTAGTCTTTAATTTATAAATAAAGTGAACACTAAACAATACAATAGATTAACGAAGGATATATATCTAACAAAGAAAAAAAAAACTAAAGGATTTCAATAAAATAACGCTTGTTTTGTAATAAGGTTTTGATTTTATCACATGTAGATATAACATGATTGCTTGTAAAACTATCAGAGTAAAAATTTAATTATTTAACAATTGTAACAAAATCCAATACGTTACTAAAAAACAATTAATACTATATTTAGGAACCATGTCCATTTCGATTTTGTTGAAGTTCTAGGCACGCGCGGCGTTCCACGTCAGACACGTGTATTTTCATTAATAATATACTAATACATTGTGTTCTGCTGGAATAGTCTAATCATGAAATTGCTTTGATCCTCTAAAATACTATTTTGTGATCGCTTAGATGCGTCAAAATTGCATTATAATACATGTAACATATATGTAAATTCGCGTACTGCTATTTTGGCGCTCAATGCTTTAGTCATGAAGAACTATCCTTCATGCACGTGTCGTAAGATGGCGGACCAAATGGGTCTGATGATGTATACGCTGGTAGACGAGTTGGTCCCGGTTCATGATTATTTTGTTCCATTGATAAGTTTGCATTTTCCGCCTCTTTTCCTTTTGTGAGAGTGTTTTCGCCAAAGCAGACGGATCGTGAACTTGGATTTTCAAAACATTCCTCAACGTGTATATGCTCTGGTTTAACAAAAGTTGCACACATGGCATTACAAGAATGGTTTCTGAAAAAATCGATGATTCCAACATCGCGTTTGTCCTTATCACCATAGCGACCGTCACGTGAGTGAATTGTGGGATTGCTCAGCTTGTACTCGCCATCTTCCTCAATTCCTTTAAGGTTACACACTACTAATTTTTCTTCGGATGCATGATATGTGTAATGGCAAAAAGCGTCTAACGCCTCAGAACCATTTCCGGTTGCCAGTCCATTGGTGCAGACGAATGTTTTAAAATCTCCGTCCAAGAATTGTTCAAATAAAACAACTTCGTCTTTCTCGAATTTCTTATCGAATCGCATGAAAATTCCCGTGATTCTCATCACATCTGATATGCTGTCCATAATGGCGTCTATTGGTTTTAGTACAATTAGCTGAAATATATATCATACAATCTTGTTGTCATAGAAATGGTTTTAATATCATGTAAAGTGACGTCAGATGTGCACATTCTCATCGCTTACTCTACATGGTTGAACATTTTGCTATATTTTCATATAAATGTAAAATTTAATAACGAAACAAATTTTCGTTTCATTTCACTCCAGATGTGGGCCAATGTCTGGTTTGTGCATGTGTGTTGTTTGTTTTTTTGTCTGTTCTTTTTTGTTGATTTGTTTAGTGATTTTTTTAAAAATTTTAAAAGTATATCTTAAAACCATTAACCATGACATTGAATTTGAAAAGCTATGTGAAGAATGTATCGGGTCAAAGTAACAAAGCTTTATCGACCTGATACGTTTAGAGCAATTAAAAAAGAAACTTGAAACCATGTCATTTAAATTTCCGTTTTTATCACAAATATCACAAACAATTCCTAGAACGAAATTAAAATCAAGTTTTATTTAAATTCCTGTAAACAGGGGAAAATGCATGATGGGTAACTAATAAATATGCACAAACACAAAAAATATAGATATTTAGTAGCCTGGATCTTTTTTTTATATATTTTAGTAGCCTGAATCTTTTTTATATATTTGAGTAGCCTGAATAATCGTTTTTATATATTTGAGTAGCCTGAATCTTTTTATTAAGTTGATAATACAGGTACCATTTTATAAATATCTCATCCAAATAGACACATATGCAAGTTTCGATACTATTAAACAATTAAACTTATCTCTCTCTTAAAATCAATACAAGACCCTTGTGAACATGAAAACTGGATTGCACTAAAGCATACTTTATGTTACATGTATCAAGTTTAAAATGTTTTCACATGTAAAACTCAAAAATGTTTGCGCACATATTTAATGCGATAATCATGTGTTTTTGTTATTTTTTGTTTCATAAATTTTCATTTTTGCTCATTTATTTTTTGTTTTTTGTGTGTGTGCGTGTGTCTGTGTGTGTACTTTCGGGTCTTCGTTCTTTTTGGGTTGTGTTTTATGAAAATAATATTGAATTTTCACTGAAAACGGTCCCTTTCACATTTTTTTCACCAAAATTACACAAAAAGAACACCTGCTTACCTTTGTATTGCAGGAAATAGTTGCTAAATGTTTGTTGAATTCAGCCGCCATTTTTCTTGCTACGTCACAGCATTCTTTGTACGGCGTCCAATCAATCGCGCTGCCTACTCGGTGTCTGAATGTCTTGACAACCACCATCGTGCCGGAGAAATAGTCCTTCTGATGATATGCCATCCCCTGTAATAAAATTAAACATAACCTCATATGAAAAGTTAAGATTAGAAAATATTGATGTCTCTTTGTAAATATAAAATATATAAATAAATGTTTTGACTTCACACAAAATAGATATGTTTAGAATTCTACACATTATAGGTGGTCACAATATGAATATATATGTCATAAAAAAACGGGCAGTTTTTTTAAGAAAAGACTAACTTTACTCGACCTGTAGTAACTAACACAGCTTCCAATACATAGTTTATTCATTCTTTTTTCCAGATAAGACATATTCAGTAAGAATTTCATAGATTTCAATAAATTTCTGTGATCAAAATATTTTATTCAAGGATGAGCATATCATTTCTTTAAACTTTATTTAGCTTGTATATCAAAAAATAGAAAGGAGAAAAACCCTTTTCAAGCGAGTTCATAGCTGTTCTCAAACAGAAATTAAAGTTTGACAAATCCTTGAAATAAATGGAAATATAACCCAGAACATCATAACGGACATGACAAGGACAAATTAGTACTTGCACTGATAAAATAAGTTTGTCATTACACAATAACACGAATTCGTCATTCGAAATTCGTAATTGCTGTATCAAGTTTGCATTGCACTGTGAAGTCTATGATATTTGTCATTGCAGTACGTCATTGTTATATGAAATTCGTAATATTGCGTTTTATGAAATTTGTAATTGCGATATCTGAAATTCTTAATTGCTACATAATTATGACATTCGTTATGCACTATGAAATCTTTTAATGCACTATAAAATTTGTTAAACAACTGATCTTATAAACAGTGAAATACTCTACGTCGGACATGTAACCCATCATCAACAACAACAAACACTGTGTCTATTCAAATGTTATAGTCTGATTTTATTGACCTGTCAATTATGAATACATCATAGGACTCAGTTAAATATTCGATCCCACTTCGGTTTGGTCCGTGTAGTTTACGAAAATTAATGTGGAGTATACTAGTCATGGATTGAAAGTCACGCCAGCTTAATGTGAAGGTTTTCGTTAATTCACAATAGGACAGTCGGTAAAGAGAATGCCTGATAAGTGAGAGGCCTGTGGTTCGATCCTTACTGTTGCCATTGTTTTAGTACTCTTTCTTTATTTTTGCAGTATATTTTAATGGAACAGATTTGTAGTGTGTTTTACGGCATTGAAAAGACATTTATTGATTTTAATCCGTTTTAATTTTAAACATGGATTCTTAAAAAAACATGTTATTTAAAAATAGTATATAAACATAACAAATTAAGTAAAACATAATAAAAAACGAACAACAGTTAAAAAATCATATATAGATTCAAATAATGTTGAAAGTATTAATAAGAAAAAAACATGGGCCAAAAGCGGCTCGCAACTTAAAACACGAAGTGGCACTTAGATTATTTTAAAAACTCGTGATTTACCCTGTTGCGCTATAACGCTGAAGTAACTTAGTTTAGAGATACAAATTAAAATTAAAATTCCATCGTAGCGTACATCTCACGGGAACTTACCGAACATCTACCGAAGAATAATATACTGTGTGCATCGAACCGTGTAATCAGTATGTAATTGACAGGGGTTAATAAAAACCAAACAATACTGCATCATTTCTAGATATACTACTTAAAAAAATTAGGCTTGCTAAATAGTTAAAGTACATTTTTTTCTCTCAATATAACAGTACGTGATTGTTTGCGTGTGCATATTTATCTAAAACATGTAACGTTTGTTAGATATATTTATTATATAAATTAAAATTGTCATAGTTTCAAGTTAGATTTCAATTTTATTATTTAAGGAATAACTTACTTTGAAGCCATATAAGAATTTTCCGGTCCATTCTGGGTAAAGTTCAAATGAAGCCCAGTAATCCTCGCCGAACCTCCACGCCTCCGCGGAGGGCAGGGTGGAATTTTCAATAGTAAAGTCGAATAATCCCATTGTTATTGTTTTTTTAGAATATGCTCTTCACGAGCTTTTACCTGAAATAAAAAAGCATTATGCAATTATTGAGATTCTTCAATGAAGAAGGTGAAACGGACATTAAGATATCCAATATTTTAGATGTTTCTGATGAAATTCTGAAGTACTTCCGGAAATTCGGATCGCTGTAAATTTCAAGCAATTTCATCTTTCGAGATAGTGATATAAAAAATAAAGACGATCCCAACAGAACTAAAACATATTTCACTTAATAACTTTTCTTTTACCCTATCGTAATGTTTCGGTATTTTCCGTCAAACTTCGGTAACAGACTATAGGAAATCGAAGATGTGTTCCAAATGGTTATTCATCGTATGTAATCATTTATTATACATGAGTATTGGTATATATTTATATTCCTGGTATTAGCATCCGTAAACAACTTTGATCTTAACTTTACACCTTTTTAAATTCATTTGATGTTGATAAACAAGTATTTCCGCAGTACAGTAAAAAAATTAATGAAATAAAATAATGGCCCGTTAGGTAAATAAAGCAAGTGAAAGAATATTGATATAAACCAAAACAATAATCTCACGTGCGTTTATTATTAAAACATAAGATAAAGGATATGGGAAACAGGTGACTATTTACGCATTATTACGTTTTTTCAATAAAATATTCAATGGAATATCAATGGAAACAAATACAGTTAAATACAAGAAAATCATTGATGCAAAGCATCAAAGGGCGACGCCAAAAGAATTTGATCCAGATTTGCACCTAAATACTTAACAAAAGATGTGTACTTTATAGCAGTACCATTACATGTGACCTGGAGGCTAGGGCCAGTTTAAGTTGAAACTTAAACCAAAAAGAAGAATAGACTCTGTCTTGCCAAGATGCAAAGACAATTTATAGTCAATTAAGCAATCTTATAAGACTTATGCTATAAGAAAGAAATTTCTTCAGATTTATTTATGAGACACAAGGATTCCTGAGTCATCAGCATATAATCACTGGCACGAGTATCGGACCTGGGAAGAAAAAATATGACCAGATGACCAGATTGATAAAAAAACTGTGTTTATAAAAACCAAAACAAAAAATGTAAATAATGATCCCCCTTTAAAAATATACTATCAACTTGAAGTATATTTTTAAAGGGGTCATTATTTACATTTTATTTTGGTTGTTGACACTTTTAAGATGAACCCAGGTTTTTTTCTATCAATCTGGCCATATTTTTTCTTCCAAGGTCTGATACTCGTGCCTGTGCATTATAATAAAAGCTTATTGCTTAGGGTTGAAGACATGTAATTGACATATATTAGACATAAAAGAGGACCTAAAATGAACATCAGGGGGACAGCATAGGTACTCCCAGAGCAGTAGTAGAATGAGTACCAGCCACATCAACCAGCTACTATCAGAGATAAGACTTAAACCATGTAAGAATGTCATTATATATGGCAGATGCTTGAAGTTTCATGAAGAAGAAGAAAAACAACTTCTTCATCCCAGATGTGCAGTATAGTGTGTTCAACTGTATGCCTTTGTAGATCTAAAAGTATCATGCAATACTGCCTTTGTCCATTTCAAATAATGCAATCTGTTAAATGAATCAAACATGTGTCAGTTGAAAAACCACTTCTAAACCCTGACTGAAACTGCCTGACCATGACTCGAACCCATGACTTTCAGAAGACCAACTGAGCTATCCGGCCTGCTACACATTTTCTCTTTAATAATGAAACAGTTCTAAACCACAACATATTTCCCCACTATATCGATTTGTGTTCGTGAATTTCTTATGTTACAGAGCATAGGAAATTGAACTCATGCTTATATGCAGTCACAGGATGAGAAAAACTTTGAGCTTGACCAGAACTCAAACCTGTGACCAACATAAGAAATTTACGAAGGCTGATATGTATTTTGCATCAAGGGCACCGGGCAAAAACATGAAAATGCAACAAACAAACCACTTTGTGGTAGATTGTATTTTCATGTTTTCATCTGGCGCCCAGTTACTTTTTATACTATGTTGGTTTTCATGTGGCACAAATCACCCACTATAAATTTAGTGCACAAATTTATTCAAGGGCAAGTAACAATCTACTCTATGTACAGTCTGTTGTCGGGTTGATGCAGGAGACCTGGAGGTTGAGACCGGTGTTTCTTCATTACAAATAGATAAGACCGAAGCTGTTTTTTTTCAAACTATGCACATGTTAGAAAAAAATAGAATAACTATTCAGAATATGATTTTTTGAGACTTTATTAATTACATTGCTTGATCCAAGTTTAAGGACATTTTCAATCAATACATGTTTTATCATTTATAACTTTAAATGAAAGTCTCATCCCTTTAATAATAATGACATAACTGTATCTCTTTAAATGCAGAAAATATAAGTCTCAATATATCAATATACTACTGTCTAAGATATACATGTATGCACATAACATTAATAATTCCCAGTTTATATTAAATAAATATGAAATCCTAACATTAACATGCTTTTGATGACCTTACAACTGGTGAATTATATACAACAAAAATAGTATTATAAGTAATACCTAAGATAGACAGAAAAGAACAAATAATTTAGTAAACATGAGTTACTTCCCCTTAAAGTAAAGAAAACCTGAAACCCAAAAAGAACACCCTAAACAGCAAAATTATGAAATGCTGCAGGTTCAGTTTTATCAAGCCATGCAAATTAATGTTAATGTATTCATAAAAAAAATAGATGGCCATGTGTCAGCAGTAATTGCAGAAAATCGGATAGCTTTCAACATCCGGATACTGGTACACTTTGTAAAAACAACCATTCTGCGCAACAGATAAATGTAATAAGGATAAAATCAATAGGATAATCGTTTACAACAGTTCCATTACCTATCCTTATACTCAATTGCAGGTGAACTTTCTTCTTGTAGGAAAATTTTTGAAAATGTATAAATGAATGAATGAACTGATACGGCCTCAATCTAGACCACAACGATATTCGAAATCCGGGTTTTAGTATTGTCATTAAAACTAAGGGACAAGCTGTTAAACTTAACCTGAAATTTCGTGAAAATAATATCACAATGCACATGCTTTTTATAAAAAGTTATTAAATACAAATATAATAACACATTTGTTTACTTGATTTTTACGAATCAAAATAAAACTAATTAACACAACATGAAATTAACTGCTAATAATAACAGCTCCTTCCATAGGCAAAAATAAAAAGCGTTCCATAATAGACGACGCCGCTCACCGGCGTCGCCAACAAGGGCACGTGCACGTATTAATTTATTGTTATGTTTAAAAGTACTTGAAAGTAAATTAAACTTGAAACACAATTTCTAAGTATCGGTAAAAAAACACACCAAAAAAAAAAAAAACACAACAAGTTTCAGTACCGTGATATATGACAACTTGATTACATTGTATTATAATTATGATGACATAATGATGATAATGATGAAGATGATGATGATGATGATGAAGAAAAGAAGAAGAAGAAGAAGGAGGAGAAGAAGAAGATGATGATGGTGTTGATGATGATTATAATGATGATAATGATGATGATGAAGAAGAAGTAGAAGAAGAAGAAGAAGAAGATGAAGATGATGATGATGATGATGATGGTATTCACCACCACCATAACAAATCTATGATAATACCACTCCTTCTTTCAATATCATAATTATCATGTTTTATCACAGTAAATTATCATGATCATTTCTTATAATGAAAACCAAACACAGCAATATTTATCAAACGATTTTAGTGAAATTACCATAAACATGGTATTGATGATGACGATGATGATGACGACGACGACGACGACGACGACGATGATGATGATGATGTCTGTGATAAGGATGATGACCACGGATGATGACGATGAAAAGATAATGATGATGCTGATGAAAGTAAATTAGTAGACCTCATCTGTTATTACAAAAGTCATGAAACATCGTTCTACTTTTCATGAAATTAAAATTTCAAATGCATTAAAGTTTTTTAAAGGGAGACACAGGCAAAATTTTCATTTCTTAGTTTTGAATTTTTCATTCATTATTCTGTAAATGCCCTCAAAATGTATATATTAGACAGTCAATGGAACAAAACTTTTCTATATGTAAAGAATAAAATGGTGGTTTCCTAACTTGACCCGCGTGGTTCAGGTTAGAGCGCTATGATTTCGCAATATTTGTCAAAGTGAACTCTGGAAACGTTAAAGAACATTTCAAATTAATAACATAGACTTGTTTCAATCATACAATATCCAAAATATCTGTAATTGTAACTTAAAGGGTTTGTTCAAGACACCTGACTTGTTTTAAAACTATTTGGTGATTCTATTGCCGTCAAAATTTTGTTCAACATATATAGATATATTTACTTTTCAAACCCAAAATATATAAAATTCAAACAGAAATTCATGCTGAAACTTCAAGAAACGTCATTTTATCCTGATTTGAGTACATAAGATCATTTTAATATTTTTGTCATTATTTTGCCTGAATATCCCTTTAATCTAATCTATCTTTTCCACGCACATATGACTTTTTACACAAAGTATTCCATTTAACTCCTTTAATTACAAATGATTTCGTTAAAAATCCTTGCTCTATGTGAAAGATTATATCGTAAATTGTAAACACATTCCATTTATCTTTCTCTAAACACACCTCAGAAGCTGTTCTATCGATCCCAAGACTCCTAAATACATGTACACTATTGCGAAATAATAGGGAAAGCCTTTATACTGAAAAATATTCCTTTAGCATTCCTTTAACATAAATGAATACACTTTTACTCAACTACAGTAAATATTGTGAGAAATAGTTTCACCAGAAAGTTCAATAATCCATACTTTTATACGACTATACAGTATATTGTGATATTCTCGATTTTCTTGTGCATCGGAAAATATTCTCACAGGGCTCAGATCAATACGGAATCCACCATTTTGAATAATATTACTAGGCGTATAAATAAATATTCTCCGCCAGAAACCAATATATGCCGTTTTCCCAGGTAAAAGCACAG